AAGGGCTAGCGGTAGTGAGACTTCTGCCAGCCGCTTGTAGAACGCTTCATCCGCCCCTTCATCCTGGTTGGGTGGTCTATAACAGACTCCCAGCAGGATATCTGCCTCGTTGGCCTTCCCCCTCATCCTTACCCATAAACACTCAACCGTACCATCATCACAGTCATTGAGCTCTATACAATCGAAACACTCCCTAACATACAGGGCCACCCCACCGCCTCTCCTTCCTCGCCTGTCCCTTCTGAAGAGTTTATAAAATCTGTTTAAGCATGATTCCCCCCCGCCCCCATATTTCAGGTTTGAGCAAGTAATTTCCCAGAACTGTCAGGGAAAAAGAAATCACTTTTGGAGAGGTTTTCCTGAAGATCTCCTATGTGGCAATAAAACAGTTTAGCCTGCCCATGAGCAAATATTAAATACCTTTGGATGACAAAACAGTCACCAAACATTTTTATGATAGCATTACTAGATGCCTTCTTATCTTGTAAGGGCAGAATAACCATGGACTGAAAACAAAACGTTAATTCTGAAACACAAGGCAAACAGCAATAATGAAAATGCAAAGCTTCATGGTGTAACAAACGCCGTACTTACACTTCCCAAAGAATATATTCTGAAGTTTTGGAAATTACAGATGAACTTTTTTTACTTGTAAATTCAAGCGTTATATCCAAAATACAAGCTATGTTTTAGTGAGGGAGAAACAAGAGGAGTACTAAGATAATGTCCATGTAAGCAAATATTTGGTTAAAAATACTTTATGCACAGACTAACATATCTCTATCTATCTATGTATGGAGACATTGGAGAGAAAGGAAACAGAATAAACCACTTTGCACAGCTGCTTTCCAGCTCAGGACATCCACAGTAAGTGCACAATGTTAAATGAAAGCAAAGGCAAAAAACTCCATTAAATGATAGTTGCAGCTATCGAAACACAGGTATAGTAAAAAAAAAGCTCAGGACAATTTATAAGAAATTATTTTCTTTGAAAAATCTAAGAGTTTCTTCTTTGAAAGCTGCTGCTGACATAGTAGGTCATTTTCAGTTTGGGGAACTTAAACCAGATATAAAGTCTTTGAAAGTCTGAACTCAATTCATGCAGTTATTTTGGAAGTTCGCTGTGTGTGGAACTTAAGTTTCCACATAGGTATGGAAACTCCCTGATTTGCACTGGGCAACTAGCTCCTGGTAATGCTCCATCACAATGCAGAAAAGTAGCAGCAAAACTTCTAAGGGCCAAATCCAACGCCACTGATGCAGTCAAAGCTGCATATCCAACACATCCCAAAGGCATTCAAGTGTAGCTCTAATTCAGGACTGCTTGAAATCAAGAACGCAGCTGATTACAGAGAAATGGGGATACTTTTTGTTCTCGTAAAGACACTAGAGCCCTCGCAGGAAGTTGTAGGCCCTTCTCTGCCTGGAGGGATTTGAACTTTATCTGTCTCCTAATTCCCTAACCTTAGGCCATGGGTACACATACTCCTTGGGTTGAAATAGGGCCATTATGCAGGTAACACAAGAGTCACTGGACGGAAGGAAGAGCAGCTGAAGGGATCCTTCAGCCAGCTTGAGGGAGCACTCCTAGACCCTAACCCTTTTTCCAGAATTGTTTTGTATTTTACAAACACAGATCCTAGACCAAAATAACAATTATATATGCATATAAGCCATCTAGGACCAGAACCCAGTACATTTCCTCATCTATGACAGCTAAGACATTTTCTTGGGGAGTGGGAGATAAGAGCTGAAACCTATTCCAGGCCAGGAATGGCTGTTAAAAGCCAGTTCTCAGTTTCCTGAACAACCTTTCTATACACGCCACCACTGAAGGAAAGCATGGCTTTACCAGTTTCCAGGTCCTTCTCTGCTGCATTATTTTAATATACGCAAGCATTTTAAAGATTGAGCCTTGCTCAGCTATTTCAAGGAAATGCTGTGTGATTACCTCCGGGCACAGTATTCTGTATGTTAACAGGCAAGGGGGCAGAAAGCCTTTCTCTGCAGGTGCCTGAACTTCAGGGGTGAGAGTCTGGAGATGTTCCTGCGCGCTGTGTCAGCGTTAAGCAGCATCGCAGTGAATACACAGGGTTTCTGTACAGCCATTTCCATACACAGAATATGAGGCCTGGATGCCTTCTGCCTCTTCTCCGTCATCTATTTGCCTACATGTCAGGCACTGTATCTCCACATTTGGTAAGAACCAACTCCTTTAAAATTAATCCCTGAGCGAAATACCACAATTGTGGGCAGAACTCAGCGTGAACTGCACATTGAAAGATGCAACTAACTGTATCATCAGGCCCTTTATCAATTATAGTTACTTAGAAAGCATCAGCCTTACCATGACAGTATGAGAATAATCAGTTAGTTAATATTAAGAAAGCAAACAAAAAAGCCCGTAATATATACCTTGATATATCTTACCTTAGTCTGCTCAGCTGTTAATCTTTTACCTCGTTAAAGACTTGGAAGTAGTAAGTGGCATCCCAGGAAAGATAAAAGAAATTCCTACAAGCAGGAAAATTTTTCTTCATGGGAAGTTTGAAAGACTATGAATATTCAGCTTACTGAGAAGTGATACAACAAAAGCAGCATACAATTACTGAATATGTTTATTCATTGTATACAATCGTAATATGACAATTTATATTTCTTTCCCAGTGGAAACAAAGCCAATGAGCCAAACCTCAAAAAGAAGGGTAAATAAAAACCCTTCTCACAATATATCTGCAGAATTCACAACTGTAAAGCTGAGACAGAATGTGGATTAATTCATCTATATAAATTTATTTAAGTGGCCTTTTTATTTCCAGGGCTGACAGAAATAGAAATATATCTGTATCAGCTAGAATAAAAATTCACATAAGTTTTGAAAACCTGTTTTAGGGAAAAAACCCACAACCAAATACAAAAAAATAAATAGTCCATGGTATAGGAAACTTTTTCCCCACATGCTTTCTACCCCTGCCATATTGGAAAGAAATAAAAGGACCATTTTAACCAGCACATTTTCACAGTTTTATTTTAAAATCCTTAGGTAAGTCTTAGGTGATTTTGAACTTACATTTTTGCTTTAAATAAAAATCATCCCAAACTTTTGTTCTGTAGTTTTGGGTAAAGCAAACAAACTGTTTAATGAAAAAAAGCTAACAGTTCTGTACAAAATTCCATTTTGGAATTTATATTTTAGACGTGATTTAGGGTTTTTTTAGATTAAAAATATTTCATGTGGTGATTTTCATGCAATAGAGTGAACATTTTTCCTATGCTGTCTGACAGAGTACAGGAGATAAATACACTTCACATGGAACAAGTAGTTAAGTAGTTCAACCATGAATGCAGATACATTATGAACTTTAAAAGAACTATTTCAACAACAATAGTTAGGGTTTATGGGAAATCAGTAAGGTGTGTAAAACAAAGTGATTTGGAAATATTTTAGTTACAGCAAGTGTAACACTAAAATATTTCAATTTTTGCTGAGAACACATGGAGCACCTATCAGTTTGGAAAGTGATCCTGATAACAACATCATCAGCTGCACCAACCTTAATAAGTAATTACCAGATACATTTTAAGAGATTCTCAATGCTTTTTAAGGTTTCGAAATTTGAACAAGAATATTGGTAGAGTAACAAGGTAGAAACTTCCCTAATACTGCCCTGTCTTGATGAAGAGGACCATTTTATGATACCCATCTCTTACATCTATCTTTCAAAACCTCATTGGATAAATATGCTTTACAGATTTTTGTATAAAATCTGTTTCAGAGAAAAAAACTTCAGGAACTAAGACCTGAATTATTTTAAGTTGGCTTTCCCAGCCACTGAAATAGTATAATGATGTTTGACTTTTGCACAAAATTATATAATTTATTTCAATATTCTTGCAACCGTTTCCAGTCATACAATCAACTTATTTTCCACATCAATTTATTTTAAGAAGCCTTATATACATATGGAATTATTGTATATATCTTATCTAATGAATTATCAAGTGTTCAGACAGATGTGTGTACTGGCTTTCACTGTGCCTGTTTCATCACAAATGAAAATCATCTCTTTCAAAAACCGATTTACAAATACAGTTGCTCAAAAGGTAGAATAAAAAAATAGAAGTCAAAAGACGTTGGTCTGTTGTGGTCCTCAGAATACTGAAAATGCCCTTGTTTTTGCTATAAATATTCAAATGGAACATGAAAAGAAAATCTCAAGAATTTGGGTATAAAAATCAGTAGCTCCTGAGTTACACTGTACAAGCATTTTGGGCAACCAGTTGTAACAGATGTACAGAAGCAACTTTCTTGAATACTCAAGAAAAAAAAATTATGCTGTATTATAGCATATGCTATTGTTATAACACATGCTTTATGTTGTATAACAGCGAATTCCACCTAAATGCAGCAGGCACATGCTGCCATTTCATGAAGCTATATTACGCAAGTAATTAGCACTGAGTATCTACAAAAGCATTTCCTATTTTCAACTGAACTGTAGCTAACCCAACAGCAGAGCACCGTGCCTCATCGGAATATCGTGTCTTCACTACTTCTTTGTGGCGTGGGAGAATGTAACACTGGCATTACAGCACCATTTTTTTTTTCTTCATAGAATCAATCCAAATTCTACAAAAATATAGCCAACCAACAAACAGAAGAGTATGCTGCATATTCAGTTCTGTCTATAGATAGCACTTTGCAATTACAGCTATAGAAGTCAAGCAATTAAGTATTTGGAATCATAGAATCATAGAATAGAATCATAGAAAGTTACGGCTGTGCATTCCTCACATAACTATGTAGTCACACTGTATATTACCATATAAATTTCTCTTTGTGAGGGGCAAAAGATGAAAGTGCTCACTTAATAAACTGGAGAATAGAACTACTTTAATTTCCCCCCCCAGCATGACATCATGTCTTACATTAGCATTCAAATGCTAATCTAAGAATTACATGTCTTACAGTACTCATGAAATCATGAAACCACCCTGCTTCCTTACAAACATTAATGCAACAATCTCCAATGAGATGATTCAGTAATACTGAGCGAATACTGCTGCATGTCCCAAGTGATTTAGCATTTTGTAGGATTCTATTTATCATCACTTCAGAATATTAATTTTCAATGATCTGCATTGTGAGTTCCCAGAAGTAACAGCTTGAAAGCAACCTGGGCACAGAGAGACAGATTAACAACCAGTGAAAAATGAAACCAAGTTTCTCAGCATGTGTAGGGATTGTGTAAGAGGCAAATCTATTCTTCAAGGGTGGCCTCAACAGTGAAACAATCCTTTCTCTTCTTGTCCATTACACGCTTTTAAACCTCTCCAGCAAATTAAGTCAGGACCTTACAAACAATCTGTCCACGGGCAAAGCAATTTCTTCCTCTAATCATTTTGTCTCTCTGAACAAGGCGGGAAGTTTTCATTGCACATATTCCACAACTTCCATCCCTCTGCTCTTGACCCAAAGTTGTTGTTTCAAAGTGCATTTGAAACAAGTTAACAGCATTTTCACAGATGAGAAACTGAGGCTCCAGTGCCCAGATTCATTGTGTCGCTTATGTATTTGATCAAAGCACCAAAGCTGGAGTCCCCCTGAGCTCTCTCCAGTCAGAGACCTTCAGCAGTCTGACCTTCAGCTCTCTTGACTGGATTTCTAATTCATGAAGTTTAATCAGGTGCCTAAGGATGAGCATAAATTCATCTTTTAGGAGTACTAAGTGAGAGATACAAAGGAGATGAGAACACTAAACCCAGGTCTCAAAAGTAGAACCCTACCTACAATAACGCATTGCCTCCTGAAATTCCTAGCATCTTAGTTTTTGAATACTTGACCTTGCAACTTTAAAATATTAATATACTTTCGGAGATAAGAAGAACACAAACACAAATAATCTAAGTCATCAGCAGTTGGAGCATATTTATCTGCCATAGAAGTCTTTATTGTATGAACACAGTAAGCAGCAGCTGATTCTCTCCACTTCAGAAGACGTGCTTTGCCAGTGATTTCACTGGCCAGAAGGGGAATCCAGCTTCATTTTCAAAGCCTGAAATAGGTGCAAAATACCACCCCGTCTTCCCCCTCCCACTTCTTTAGACCTGCCAAAGCTTACCCTTGTCTTAGGTTAACCGTAAGCGCAGAAGTCTTTCTAAATCCACTTTCTACCACGCAGTCATTCTAATTCCCTTGCCATAGCACCACTTCCAGAACGCACTCAAATAAGGCCACTTCTGAGCCATCCTTTTCGCTAAGACATAGGTAAAATGGAAAAGGAAGTTTCTCTACTGTCTACTCTTGTTCTCTAACATAGCCACCTTGGCTACCAGGGGCAAGTTCACCTCATTTTAGCAGCTCTAGACAAGAGCATAATCCAGTCAGACTCTATGGGTAATACTGCCACCATTTTCTAACAAACCTGTAGTTATCACTGGCTTTACATCAGTCCCCTATCAAAGGCCCTATTTCAAACCACAGAAGTACTTTAAAACTTGAGAGAATCTATTTTTAATTTTTCCTTTATAAATGGATAATGTATATCCACTTTCATTTCACTTCACTCTGAAAAACCACTAAAATAAACCCTAAATTTTCCCAAAAATTCTGAGTAATTTGAGACCAGGGTAGAAGAGAAGAAATGGGCATCTAACAACTCCAATTAGCAGCAACCTGTATGGCATATGCTTCTCTAGCATATACTTCTCAGTGCAACTGGGGTTGTATTTCCCCCATGAAAGTTATGGCATCCTTCTTAAAAAAACAAATACATTTGACAAATAAAGAGAATTATCACAATGGAAAGAGGCAGCAGTGCTTGAACCACAAACGCTGCTGACAGACCACCTTTAATTCAAATCTGTATTAAATCTAAAATCCAATTAATGTAACTGGTTGGGCTGGTTGGTTTGTTTGGTTTTTGTGTGTGCTTTTTTTTGGTAGAGGGTCTTAAATAAACAATATCTTCCATATTCTTAAAATCAGATTGTCCTTTCTCCTACTAATCTTCCTACCAGATGGGACAACTCCCCTCCTACAGGCAAACTGGCTAGCAACATCCATTTGTATTTTGAAAATTAAATTTAACTTTCAAATTCTAAGTTATTATTTACAAGGTATCACCCAAGAACTCTTCTCTTAATGTACAGTGAACTATATTCAAAACGTCAAAAGTTATTTGTCTGCGGACACAAGAAGCAAGTAAAAAACAATTTATGTAATAATTTCTTGGTAGAAGTCAACACAATTTTCAACAGTTTTAAAATATGATCGTGCAATGGGCTGCAAAGAATCTATCTGGAATTCATTTGTGCATTCGCTAAAATATTAACTTTCGTGCAACGCATGGCACGTAGAGCGTAAGTCATCCTGAAATAAGTAAATACATGGTAACGTGGTATTGAGGAAATGGTTCCTGAAGCAGATTTTTCACTAGTTAGCCATAAGCTCTCATACTCACTGATGAAGAAAAAATATTATGGACAACTAAATGTTCATCTTAAACATCTGCTGACATTGGACATTAGGAAAACAGAAAGCAGATTGATTTATGTATACAGACAGTTTGTGAACTTTTGCACAACATTAAAGTCTTTTGCGGAACGAAAACAACAAATCACTTGGGAGGAAAAGTGCAAACAAAAAAGAACCTTTGCTGAAGCCAAGCATGGAACAGAGAAAGTAGTTAAAACTCAGACTGAATCTCTCTTTCAGAATATTAGGAACCATTTAACTAGAGAGCAGCATCGAACTGAACTACCCCGTATTTTCCACTTACCATCCATTCAGGTTCAGAAGCCTGAATTTGTTCACCTTGTCCAGGTTTTAGGCCAACCTGAGTGTCAGATTTCAGTGTTCTCAAACTACAGAGGGGCGCAGGATGAAACTTGTTCAAGGCTTGATGAAACGGAACAGTATATTCCCATTTTCTATCTCCTGTTAATTTTCGATAGTTTAGATCACCTTTGAAAAGAAGCAACTTTGACTTCTGTAGATCGGCATACAAGTCAGGAGCAACTTCAGCCATACTGGAAAAGTCATGTGGCAAAGTCCAAAACATGTGATCACGGTAAACCCAAACTCCCTTTTTCAAATTGCCCTCCCAGTTTATCCCACATCTAGACATCCACATATGATTAGCTGACTGCAGTTGTTTAATAGTCCAGTTAAAATCATGCTTTGTGGTATCTGACACATACCATGGAATACTTTTTCCATGAAAATGGACTTCATCAGCTAGCTTTGACGATACCAGGAAGTCAGCCAACACAAGATCACTTACAAGTTCAAATCCGGCATTATCCAGGATTATGTCAACTCTAACATTACTTTTTTCTGTATTTCTTTTTTTGGCGTTTACAAGTAGTGACCAAAGCTTTTCCATATCATTCACTAAGATGTAAGGTATCATGTTTTCCAGGGATTGTAAAGGACTAGATTTCTGAGAGCTGTCTTCACCAGCTGAAAAAGAAAGGTCACACTTATTGCCCCACAATGACACCTAGAAGGAGGAAAAAAACAAAAAATATTTGCTAAGTCTCACTGTAGTTACATTCTAAACTTCACATACACTAAAGATTTTGTTTGTTTGTTTTTGTTTTAGGGACATGAAGACTCTAACTCCACATTTCACTCCAAGCTTTAATAAAATGCAACTTCTTGTACAGAAATCTTAATATAGACAAGATTTTGTGGAAGAAACCAAACAATCCTCTGTATTTATGCAGGCATCAGAAACATGCATCAGAAGTGACAAAGATGGAAGATTTAGATCAATGTAAATACACTGATCACAAAGCTTAAAACACAAATATTGTCCATACTGTGATTCCAGAAAATATCAATGGGAACACAGAAAAAGGAGTAATAAAAGCAGGTTTATTTTTTTATTACATGCAGCCAAGTAAGAACTTGTATTTTAAGTACACGCTAATGAGGTAATAAGTACACACTTAAACACTTTATAATGATTATTATAAAGATTCATCAAATATTTAGTGCGCACTGTTGCCAGCTAACAGCCCTATTTGTAATCCTATGGTATTTCGTATGCTACCCAAAGGCATTATTTTCCAGGAATAATGCAGTTATAAAGCTTTTAAACCACTTCTGGCCCAGGCTGACTTCTAACATTTTTTCCAAAGAAGTCTAAAAATTTTTAGAGTGTCAATAAAATTAAGCAGTTTAAAATTTTATAGTTAAATAACAAAAAGGCCATCTGGAACTCGACTTAAAATGTTTTATATGCTGGTTTTGAGGGAGAATAAGCAGGGTTTTCAAATACACAATGAAGACCAGCAGAATAATGAAAGTGTCATATTTAATACAAGTAACCAAAATTTAAGTATTTCCAGAGTAGCAGCAATACAGTATGGCTGTCAGGATTTCACTGCATTTTTACAATCAAAAGAGCTATATTTTAATTTCCATATGAAGTTCAGAGTCCTTATAACCTCAAGTTTTTGTTTGTTACATAGGAGAGAGATTTTAAATTCTTATGTTAAGCACTACTACTTTACCTGCAATAGGTTAAAGAGTTCCTCCTGAAGTTGCTTTTCGTCTAGATCCTTGATGTTCTTAAGAAGTTCCTGAAAGTAAGTGCATAAGGCAATAACAGCCTCTTGGGATTCAAAGAAATTTTGAGCCTTTCCTTCCTTAAATACGTCAAAGTTGTCAATAGGTGGGCTAAAAATAGAAGGAGAACAAGTAGATTAACATTAGATTAACTTGCCACATTTTCCATGACAGCAGAGGAAACACACCTGAAAATGCAAGCTTGAAGCTCAGCTTTTTTAGGCTGAACTACAGGCCCTAGTTAAGATTTGCCACTTCTAATTTGTCATACTAGATTTTCACACATCTCAATAACAGCCTGGTATCGTATCTCGCTGAAACAGACAGTATGCAAGACATCTTTGTATTTCTAGCAATATATTCTGAAAGTGAACAAGTGTTCAGTCACAACAATGCTGGGAACTGCACATACAGTGACACTTTTGAACTCCAGTCTTCAGACACGGAGAATTAAAACTGTTCACATACAAGTGAACTAATGTAGTGAATTGCTGGCCCAATTTTAAGCACGTTTGTGTGTGCTGAAGTGTACTTCCCATAATGAAGTCTCTTACAGTGATATGAAGTTATTCTTATGAAGGTTTTTAACTAGGACTTTAGAAAATTAACATGACAAAGATGACAAAACAATTCAGTTCTTGTCATATATAAGAAATATAGACTCATCTATTATGAGACGTATTTGCATGTATACCTTTTGACAAATGATTGAACTTTCATCCAAGCATATGCTTAAGAGCGGCTAAATAATGGAGATCAAGAAACTCAAAGCTTACTAATGAAAAGTATCTGCTCAGTTTTTTTAAGTGCAATCCAGCAGATCCATCTCATATTTGAAGTTTTTGCTACAAGAGTTCAAATTACGCAATATACCAGTAGAAACAGAGTCCCATTACTGTGTGCGTGTCTCTGTAATACTAAGGGCAAATCTAGTACGCATGGAGCTCTCAATTTTTTTTGGCAGCAGCGGGGACTTAAACTGCTCATTCCTACTCCATTGCATTGTACTGGCACCTCTCCACAGCACCAGCACAACAAGTTTTTCCTGCCAAGTTATTTTTAACCAGGATCAGCTCCCAAAGTTCGATGCAACACATGGTCTGCAAACACTGCTGTAACTAAGAAGATGGTGTAGAATGAACAACAGGGGCTGCTTAAGCTGGGTCTACTGCTGTAACAGTTCTCAAACGGTAACTTCAGATTTCGAGCAGCAAAACAAGTTAGAATGCCCAACAGATTAGTGGTTCTCGCATCCCATGTTTCAGGCGAACACACATCTCGAGATAATTCTAGACTAACAAACCTTTTAGAAATGCTAAATAACTTTCATACCTCAACGCACATTAGTCTGCAAGAAGGCCAAGCTATACAGTCAAGCTTAAGAGTTCTTGTGTAGACCAAGTCACAGAAACTGAAGCATAAAAAAAACCTAGTAAGCTTCAAATTCTGCCACATGGAAGAAGAAAAAGTATTACTTTTAAATCTGAAGCGCGAGACGAGGGAAAAGGAGTATGGTAAAAGCTTAAGATTTTCCTTTATCTTACTCCCCAGCTGTCTTCCTTTCTCCTAAAATAAAAACAGGAAAGAACAATGTTTTGCAGAGCAATACACCAAGCTAGTAAATACTTACTTCTGTGCAAGTGCTGCGTGAATTCTTCGATACATGTAACACTCTACATATAACCAAGGGGACTGAAACCAACTCGGTTCTCCATTTCCATTTGATAAATTTCGTTGGTAGTCTAGGTATTGGTTCCACAGCGCAGCATCAGGCAGCTCATCTTCTAAAGGGGTCACTGGTTTGTCTGTTTGCAGTTCATTCCGCAGTTTGGAGAGGAAAGATATAGCTCTCTTCTCTGCTTCAACGCCCTTCTGAAATAAGCGGAGAACAAAAGTTCCTATTCTGAACATTTATTCCTGAAGAGACACAGATCAATTCTTCACAAAAGATATACGTGATAAGTTTTAATTGCCAAATACGAGTCCCTGACAAATCAGAGCTTGCTTCAACCAAACACATTTTGGTGAATGAAGCTCGTTTTACACCCAACATCCTAAAATGAATCGCGCGTGGGACTTCTTTTCACATCGGACTTTTTGCTTATTAGAGGGGAACAGGGTACTGAAACATTGCCATGTTCAGAAAATGCTAGTCTATTAAACACTGCATCAACACAAAAACCTGAGAAAGCGAAGCAGTTGCAGAACAGATAGATCAGAAAAAGGTTAGACGGAAAGGCGAGTTACAAAATTAATGAAGAGCAGCTACAAGAAAGAGATGATAAAGTAAAAAAAAACGACAGAAAGATTAAGACAGACAAGTACTGACGGTAGTAAGAAACCAGCAAAAACAAGGCAGAGAAGGGGTCTCAAGGGCTAGGGGGAAAAAAATCTCAGGCAGAAAGAGACCTTACCCTTACCTCACCATGTTCTTCAAAAAATTCATTTTTATGTCGATGCAGGGTATCAATAACTCGTGTGAGGATCTGAGGCAGTCTGTCTTTAATTGTAAAATATGCAAAGGACCTAAAAAGGAGAAGTTCAAAATTTTATTATTGAGAGGAAATGATGAAATATCTTCTATTTTTAAAAATAAATGCACGGTCTTGAAAGTAATTTTATGTGCCTTTAAAGCAGTGGACACATTTTTATGTCGATGCAGGGTATCAATAACTCGTGTGAGGATCTGAGGCAGTCTGTCTTTAATTGTAAAATATGCAAAGGACCTAAAAAGGAGAAGTTCAAAATTTTATTATTGAGAGGAAATGATGAAATATCTTCTATTTTTAAAAATAAATGCACGGTCTTGAAAGTAATTTTATGTGCCTTTAAAGCAGTCGACACCAATAAAAAGCAAACAAACAAGTCTTAAATTGGTCAGGTTCTTAGGTCTACTTTTAAAGAAAAAGATAAACGGCAGTCTTTTCAGGGAAGAAAATGCTAAGTGACCGGCCCTGCCAGAAGAGCGAAAACTGCAGTTAATTCTAGGCTCAAACGTGTTCTCTAATTGCTCAGTTACCCAGATGTAAAGTCAAGGAAATTTAAAATTAAAAGCTCAGAGATTTGTTTAAAGTTTAAGCGTATCTTGTATCGACAAGAAAACCCACGCCACTCGCTCTCCGCTATATACTTGATTTCCATCCTCCCCAAACGCTGTTTATACACGAGAAGGACGACGAGCAAAACGCGACCAGCCCCACGGAGAGCTCGAACCCAGCCTGAAGAATGATTTTTATTTGAAGATTTCTGTCCCGCGAGTCGGGGCCCCAGTCCCGGGGACTCGGAACTGAACAGCTACCCGCGACTGCGCGGTGAGCCCAAAGAAACCTAGGAAAAACAGAAACACAACCCATACCCTCCCGAGGCCTGTTCCGGTCGGTAACGGGCGGTTAGCGGGGGCGAAGCGAGGCAACGCCGGCCCGAAGAAGCGCCCGCCCCTGCGGC